GTGAACAAGGGTACTCACAAACCCAGAAAGAAGCTCCAGCAGTTGTATGGGCAATAAGACGCTTGCACAAGTATCTCTTTGGTACTAAGTTTCACATAGTTACTGATCACCAAGCTTTGAAATTCATTTACAATCCAGAAAAATCTTTGAATAAATCATCTGCTGCTATGGTTCAAAGATGTAGTTAAGAACTAAGTGCATATGATTACAATATTGAACATAGATCGGCAAAGGATATACCTCATGCAGACTTCTTATCCCGTTATTCATTATTTGAAAATATTGCTAATGATACTGATTGCTTATTAGTCCAGCCGTTACCGGTGGATCGAGTTCGACTTATAAATGATACTCGGAAATATTACGGATGCGTTTTAAATGCAACAAAAAGAGGTTGGAATGTTCAGTGTAAGCGAAGATTTCCAGACTTTTATAAGCGAAGAGATGAGATTTCAGTCCATCCTGAAGGATTTCTATGTCTGAATGACAGAATTATTATTCCTCCAACATTAAGATCTGCGATTTTGGATGATCTATATTCTGCTCATCTAGGAGCTGATAAGATGAAATTATTAGCACGCCTAACATGCTGGTGGCCGGAAATTGATGCTGACATTAACAAAAGATTGTTACTGCTTGTTACTGTGATAGATACGCTAGATAAATCAACACGGAAGCTGAAAATCAATCAGTTGACTTTATTAAATTATTTCCATTGGATTTTAGATGGCATAAGATGAGTAGATTTTATTTGGTAAGAGTTTCGCAAATAAATGTCAGACCTAGAAGATAATCCCTTCAAAAACGAATTGAATCTAAACACATTCAAATTCTTCAAGCCTGAAAGTGTAAGTCGAAAAGTCTTTAAGGCAAACTAAGCTAAACGTTTTCAAATTCATACTTTTGTGTTTAACTGGTTCAAAAGCACGACCTTGAGCGGTAGTCTAAATGGCGTACTTTCAAGTGAACTATCTTAATACGTAAGTCTTAAGTATCCTCTGTTAAAGTACTTCTTCATGCCATTATTTACACTAAACATATCAAAATTAAATTTTCAAGTCAGCGAAGTTAATTTTCTAGCAACCATCAGAGTATATGACCTATTATCAACTAGATTCTTGTGTTTATTCAAATTATTCTGTCTGTCCTGAATCCGCTTAACAAGTTTCGGGAGGTTCGATTATTTGACTAATGCTTGAATAATAGATTGATAGTAGTCCATGGAACATGCATTTGTGGTGGAAGCTCACCAGGAATCACTAGTTTACTGGGTAACTTAAACGGATCGAAAGATGCCATGATCTGCATTCATCCTTTAAATTTCGCTTTTTTATTTCCTTCTGATTCTGATTGTTTTTTTCAAGACCATTGGTGTAAGGTCGACCATCTGCGGGGCCGCTATGGTTAAAATTCACCTTACTTGTAATTTATTGTTCTGTCTTCCAAGAAGAATTTTTCCTTGATTTTTTAAGGATATTGTGTCTTCTAAAGTAAGGCTTGGCATCAAAATGTAACTTTATAATGCTGATGCAGGGATTGTATTTACACAGTAATAATTACACCTAGAAAAATGTGTTGTGGTGCCCTATTTGACCAAACTTGTGTACTCGTATATCTTTGTACTTCTTCGCGTTTATTTTTGTGTCCTAACGTTATGATTCGTCAACATCCACAACGTAAATCAAAAGGCACTTGAGAAGGAGTAGGAACGTGTATTAACGCAGTAATCAAAATTCAAAAGTTGAGCGAGTAGAAAAGTATCAATTGTTAACCCGCAATATTTAGAGTGATAAACAAATCAAAGTCCAATCACATTATTATTATTATTATTATTGCATCCTTTAGTTCCTGGAGGAACATAGGGCTCCAGCTGCGCACCTCCATTGCCTTCTGTTTTCTGACAACTTTTTCACCCCACTCCAGGTCTATCCACATGCTTTCATCTCCTCCTCGCATGACCTCCTCCAAGTCACCCTTGGACGACCAACTCGCCGCCTCCCTTTCGGGTTCCACTCGAGGGCTTGTCTAGTGATGTCACTTGGTGGTTTCCTCAGCGTATGGCCAATCCATCTCCATTTCTTCCTGCCTATTTGTTTCACAATCGGTTCCTGCTGGGTTGGTTCGCTCATTGCCAGAGATTCCTGTTGCTGATCTTTTCTGGCCATCTGATCTTGAGTATTGAGCGAAGACAGCTGTTAATGAAGGTCTGAAGTTTGTTTGAGATGCTCTTTATGACTCGCCAATCACATAGTGAAAGTATACTACAAAGATGAGTAATAAAATAGGTCACTACAAATGAATCGTATGGATTGCTTCAGTTTATATGAAGGTTTGATGATGAATTATTCTTATGATTAAGAACAATTTTTTATGTCCTGATATATTCGTATTATCAAATACCGATTCGACTGTTCCAGCACTACATGTAGTCACTGCTTTTACAAAAACAACGCTATTTGCTCGTGATTCCTTGACTTCTAATTACTCATGTTATCAGTCTGTTATGGGGATACACAAAGCACTTTGAAAGATGGTATTAAGTTCCGGTTTGTGAGAAATCTAGGGAGATTGTGTGGAATGGGCAATACAAATATCTTTGTCAATGATTTACTTATTATAAAGAATTTTTCACATTTAAATAATCATTACTTAAAACATTACAACCTAAACGCTGCAAAACATTTCATTTACTGTCTTGAAATAAGTTCGCTTTCAAATTTTTACTCGGAATTATCTTTTTGATTCTCTTCTTGGAAAATGATTTTGATGGATATGCATATTGCAGATCTTCAAAAATCTGTATTTCCAGAATAAGGATCAATGAACCACATATAATAGTTTTCACTGTAAGCCTCTGAAACAGCAAGCTCTATGACCTCAGCTACTGCCTACTAGTCATCAGTGATTTGTTTGTCTTGTGAGCAAAGTGTAAGTGTAAATTGTAACTCCTGAACGGTGGTATATGAAACCCTTGTCGAAAAGCTGTCATAAAAATACTTAGTTCCAAACTAAAAGCCCCGAACCGTTTGTGTACATTTTTTGCTGACACTTTAGACAATTCAGGAATGTGAATGTTCTTTGATTAATGGAGCTCAACCTTGAAACCAGCGGTACTGACATGAGAGAGTTTTACTTTTATAATAGATTTCTTTATGCGATTCGTCAGTAGGTAGAAAACTTTATAAATTGTATTTTATTTTATGTCGTAGCAAAATGGTGGTTATTACCGTACTATGCTATTCCTACTAAGATACAGGCATATACCTATTTCATCTGATTCTTCACTTAGAAGTTTAGGTTGTTCAACAGTTTTTGGAATATAGGAGACCATGTACAGTTCTCACTTGAAGAATTCTGAGCCGATTTACTTGTCTTCAACCTGAAGCAATACTCATGATTATTACGTGTTGGCCTATCCGACGTGGTCGTTTAGTTTGGTCACGCACTTGGCTGACTCCTTAGCCTAACCCACCCCCTCATGTTGTCTGAGTCAAATTGGACGCCTATTCACCAGGGGGGAACATCATACTTATACCAGGTTTCTTCAGTAATTAAGTTTCTGGCTTTGCTACTGAGTATCGCGTGTTCAAATCTTCGAGAAAATAGTCATTGATGATGAGCTTTATGATGGTCAACTTCTAACTCCTAATTTAGTTGTTTACTAGTATGATATTCTTAAGTTACCTAATATTCGTCTTATTCACAGTGGTCTATTGTATTAGGCAATTTACTCTTTACCAATCAGAGGTGTGATCGTTATGAAGTTTTCCCCAGTGGTTTTGGTTTACATGGAAAATTATTTCACAAACCAGTTTTCAAGCCCCTTATAGTTGAGATCAAAAATCCTTTGGCTTCAACAAAGAACACCAGCAGATTTTTTGTCCAAGCCGAGACGTATATTAGCAATATTAAAGTTTTATGTTCAATAGCTCACTGTGATTCAGTAATACTCATGCACATATGGAACATAGTACTACTCTGTGAAGAAAAATTCTAGGAGTTAATGCATACAATATTCCTAACTTTGTTGAACAGTCTGTACTAAGTTACCATATTTTAATACTTCGACTGATTGGTTTATGAAGTTAATTTTCCTCCTGTTGAACTTAACTGGGTGTAAAATTTGTTAACTGAAACATGTTAAAACTCCCATGTATCATAAGAAATTAGAGACTTAAGACACGACTATCCTTTTTTTCCTTCACGTTCCCAGTGGAACATAGGGCCTCAAGCTAGTAGCTTGAAGTTTCTGTAGTAGTGTTTATTTTACAGGATGGGGTTGCTAGCCTCATGTCCAACCTTTCCTCTTTACCAGCATTATTTCTGGCTTAGCGAGGTAAAGGAGTGCGTCAGTGGCCAGGGATCGAACCCCGGACCATGTGCATGGTCGGCGAGCGTCCTAACCGCTACGCCACCGACGTCACCTACATAAAGTATAAATTTAAGCATTCACATATATGCTATCCGTTTCGGGACTAAACGTTTAACAACCTCAAAGTATACCTCCCAACCCCTAGCTTAACTTGGGCAATTTTGTGTAAATAAAACTGCAAACCAAATCTAAAGTACAGATATGGCTGGAAAAGTTTGTAGATAGCAGTCATTAAAATTTTTATCTGGTTGAGATAAGACTTGTTTATTTAAAAGATGCAATAAATTGTGTAAACTACTGAATGTTCTGTGTATGTAGGTGTTAAAATATAAGCCATTCTTTTACTGTTTCTGATAGTAATTAAAATGTTCCTTTACTTTCTTTATTAACATCTGTTGAGAAGTTGTCTGACATGTCTGTTTATTCTACGTTAATCTTTCAAGTGGAACCTGTCCTTCAGATTAATCAATGTAGGAGAATAAACCAAGACAGCTGACTATCAACTAAGTTACTGTACTAGCCAGCATGTTGGTGCTCTGCAGAAGGTATTCAGTTTTATATCATATACCTGATGAAGTGGAATTAACAAAGAAGATTCTTCAATTCTAAGCTAACTACTGGTCTATTCATGACCTCAGTCTTTTTGCCGTCAATACATTCATCACAACCACCTTTAGGACAGTCATCGTCACTGCAACCAAATGATGAAATTAAAGCAGTTTTATCATTGCTGTCACAACAACCGGTAGGCAATATCAAAAGTAGTCGGCATGTTGTCAACTGCAATCGTTTATGCTACAAGTCTTCATCTAACCTAAATCTTTCAAATGACACAACACATTCAAATTTGTCTAGACACCATCATGTGTCTCGTAAACCAGAAGCTACTCCGAAGAATATTCCAAAGGCATTACTTTTATCTCCACCACTGCCAATACGTCGAAGACCCGCCAATATATTGATAACATCAAAAGGTCATTTAAGGAGTACATCACATGTATCAACTAGCCGATCCTTATCTTCTAGTCACTATGATAGAAGTGAGTTGTTTGATATAAACTAATAATCTATTAGTAAAATAAAGTTTTTTTTGGTTTTGTCATGCTATACATTTATGTGTGAATGACTTAAAGGAGTGTTTTTCATGAAATGGTCAATGATATGCTTTGTATTATTAGCATACTATTAATGAACAAAAATTTCTGCTAACAGTCAAGTAGATTTAAACACAGCAATGCTTTACGTAGCCGTTACAGTAGTAGATGTAATTTTATCTTAATGATACTGATAAGATTTTCGTAACACACTGTCATTTCTGAAAGCTGACTAGTCAATAAACAATATTCCTAATAAAACTTGATTGGGAATCTTACTTTGTAGACACTGTTCTAATCTGACTTTAAATATGAAAAATCTTTAAGATTTTGATCTTGGAATGAATTTTGTGTTTTAAAAAAAAAGCAATATTTGTTCCAGATAAGGTAAAGCAAATTCGGTTAGTTCTAGTAAGGTTATCAAGCTAGGTAATGAAGTTTTATCAGTTAGATATCACTGAACATTTCATCATTCCAAACTGTTTTACTCCTTGTCTCGAATCATAACATTTCACTTTCAGTTAATAATACATGTTTTATAAAAATAATCTCATTTATACCTTTCGATGTAATCTTCAGTTATAATCAAAGGCGACCAAAATCATACGCCTACTTGTCATATGAACAGTCTAGTTTTAGAAACAAATCAACAATGGGTAATAGACAGTTACTGTCGGGTGCTGAGTTGAATAGCTCACAGTTACGTATTAATCCCAAAACTTCAAGTGCGTAATATAGGATTATTATTGCCTAAAAATAGGTTATCTTTAGATCCGTTTATCACTTTAATTCCTACATAGATTTTTTCACGAACTGACATCAGTTTGTGCGACATTAAATACTAGGTAGAAATAAATAAGATGATTCCTCAGCAGTTTGCTTCTGAATCCCTATTAGTGGTCACACCCATTACCCTCAGGTTATGAATTGAACCAATTGTCCATCCACTCATCAGGTTGGAATACAGAATCTTAGGAACTCTAGAATCTTAGTTTGCGACCAATGCCACCAAGTTTTATTGGGATCTATCCTGATATCCGACTGGGTAGAAATCGTTAGCCCTGACTTCTCAGTATAACTTTAGGACATATAAATTAGCTTATCTTTGGATCACCTTACTAAAAGATCGAGTTTATCCCGAAGATATGATATACTTATTAGCTTCATTCATTTTGAACAATTTAGTCACACATTTCTTGTAAATTCAAAATACATAATGTAGCGTCGGATGGTGAACTCAGGGAATTTAAAATTCATGCATCATTGAGCTCCTACCTAGTGGCTGGATAGTTAGAGACCTAACCTCATAACCTTAAGGTCACGGGTGCCTACGGATGAAGAGTCCCAGACAAGGACGAGCAGTGGTCCCCTACTCCCTGGTTTTCACTGATTCTCTGACTGATGTCGGTTCATGACAAAATCTATAACAAAACTAATCAAAGTCCCGGCAGAACCCATAATTGAAAAGTAATGTTTAATTTAAGAGTAGTATGGATGGCAATTGACACCATTGTTGATAATGTAATGGAACAGGGATTTTCGAGATATATCAGGTACAACAGTAAATTGTCTTTGTGCACACGCTGGGAAGGGTTTTAACTTCATAGATGGCCATCGCCTCAGCATATTTTAGTAAGCAACTTTTACACATCACAGAATTTAGTCCCTGTGCCAAAATCATGCTATTTATTTCCCCGTTATAAAATAATTTTATATAGACATCTTTCTTAGGACTAGAGTACACTGTGGGCTTTTAACTTAATTGTCTTCTAGACCACTTCAGAAATTTTCGGAGGAGATCCGTTTTTTCAACAAGTGTATTGATCACTATTATATTGTCATCATCTATGGCATCTGCTGTACAGATATACTAAACCCCCTTAAATAAGCATTTAAACAAGTGTCTCTCGTACTGTAAAGATCAGAAATTATGAAAAACTAAATACAGCTCTATTGAAGCAGGTTTTCTATAAATCGATCACTTTATAGAGCTATCATATTCGACTCAAAAGCATGTCTAAAAATGTGAATTAATTACAACTTTCTCTTTCACATGTAAGGTTGGTGGGATTTTGTACACAGTTAATACTATCATGTAAATATATCTCATTTTTGTGTTTAATCTTACCTCACGATAATATCGTCAACACATCTCCCATAAAATAGGCAGGGCAACGATCAAAAAGCCAGTCAGATTTTCAACTTAAGACAGATATACATCAACCAAAATATCAACAGTGTTGATTAAAGGTCCATTAGTAAATGAAAAGTTAACATCAAAAGAAAACATTTTCATATCTTATAAACACGTCGTCATGACAGTCAATAAGTCCGAAAGTATCTTTCAAAGTCGACCTACATAATACATTGCTAATCGAGTTTAGGATGTTTACCTCCCCTCACCTTTGTGTGTGTACGAAAACAATGTATTGTTACTCTTAACCTAACTTGATATTCCTTATCTTGATTAGATTATGAAGAGTAGGGTGTCAATTCTTGGCCCTCGTAGCGCAGTGGACTATTAGATAATGCTTTAAGGTTTGAAACGAGGGGTGGTGGGCTCGAGTTCCAAAGGGGAAAACCATCACTCGCTGACATTGTAGGTACGTCCAGTCGACGAATCCTAAACTGAACGAAATGTGCATCTTGGATTTCGTTCCTAGCCACCACTAAACAAAATAAGAGGACTAGTTGTTTTGTTTTTTTTAATTAATCTGTTTTTAAATATATAGCGTAACATATCTCCAAAATAAATCATCTACAATTATAACTCTGGTAAAAAATAAGAAAAATGAATAGGCACTAAAGTGTAAGCAAGTATTTTAACCGTGGACCGAATGAACTTGATTCATTCTTGTGCTAAAACTTATACAAAAAATAAAATACGATACTTTCTATTATTCAAGATTACAGCTTGATTCCACACCGTATTTTTTGGTACAGGTATGGAATTTTCAGCATGTTGTATCGGTAGCCCAAATTTTGCAGGTCGACCATAGATATCAGGTGTGCGTCGGAGGGCGCTCGAGCCCCAGACCATTTGTATGGTTGGCGAGAGTCCCAACCACTGTGCCACCGACGCACTTGACATTTCAGGCGGATTGTATGTAGTCTACATAGGTCTACACAGACATTTGTACCCCCATATAGAGATAAAATGCCTAGTGGTGTATGAGAACACTGAAAACGAGTATTACTGATCGATCACTTGAACTAGTGGAAGAATTCAAAAGAAAACAAGTTTAGTGGAGTAAGAAAAAAGTAAGCGGATGGATTGACATGAAACTATTTTCACATTTCTTCGCTGTCTCAACATTATTATTTGGAAATAACTTCTGAAGAACAAGTAAATTATTATTAGTAGTAAATCGCTATAGATTATTTTGTAAAAAGTGGTACTGAATTGAATAGTGGTTGTTGTAAAAGGCAAATTTCGAACTAATATTTATTAGGAGGCAGCTCATCATTTCCTGTATTCCTTCCTGTAAGATATCACTTTCTGCTAACCATTGTCACGTTCTTCTCCTTCAACAAAAGTTGTTTTTTTTTCTTAGAAAAAACGATATGGATTAGTTCATATTTTTATCTGTATGTACGTGCGTAGAAAAATCACACGAAGAGGAAAAAAAATCAGTAAATTCCCTAAACTGTTTTGGCTATGAGCCAAATTTCCCAAGTTATTTGACTATTTTCTGTCGACCAATCAAATGTAATCTATGCGCTGTGTTTTAATTGGACAATTTTTAATAATATCTGTTTTCAACCTTCAGTTGAATTGAATAAATGAATGAAAGAGGGAATAGGGCAGCATGGTGAATGTGAGATTTCTTTCAATTGGTTTTAAATAAGGTTAATAGTAGGTTGCAAATTGAAGTTTCTTAAGGCAGAGTTAAGAGTAGGGTAGGCAGATGATGATGATAAATGGGATCGAAGCAGTGCTAACATTGTTTATGCTATTGCGTAACTGTAAATAATAAGTGAATGATGCGTTCACTTGCCTGAAGGAAAACATTTTTTAGGATGCGTGTAATCGTATTTATTACCTCTGAGTAACTGTTGCGTCATTTATCTATGAATGTATATTAAACACAGTGAATTTGAGACTAAACTATTTACCGCTATGTAATAATACTTTTTTACAGAATTTCATCATGAGCTGAAATCAGTTGGAAAACCTGGGAGTACTGGACAGCTGTTTCGTCCCAGTTTTGGACTCTTCGACAGTACGCACCCACTGGGATTAGAACCCAGGACCTTCTGGTTCTCCTGTAACCAATCAACCAAATCCCTACAAACCAATACTTGAATATTTTTTTTATTATTCGTCCATTGGGTTCAGAGTGGAACATAAGCCTTTATTAACACGTCATCATTTCATTACGTTCTCAACTCCACAATTGCCCATAAGCTTTCGTTCCTTCTTCGTACCATCTCCTCTATGCCATCCTCGGGCATATACGCCCACCTCATGTCACATTCAGGTTCCATTTGAGGATCACTTGGCGTGTGATGTCAGTGAATGGTCTTCTCAGCGTATGTCCAATCCATATTCATTTACTTCTACATATTTGTTAGGCGATAGGTTCTTAGTTGATTCACTGCCTGCTAACACTACTCGTTGGTTATTCTTTCTAGCCATACGACCGTCAGCATCAAGCGTAGGCAGTTAATAACTAAAGCCTGCGGCAAGATGTTGGAAATGGTTTCCATGAAATGCGCTTGCAGTCTCTTCTCAGTCGACTGCATAAGACGTGTTTTAAGCACATTTATTGATTTCACTAATCTGTATCATATCTTCTTGGGACCACTGTTTTATTTCTGCAATGTAATCCAGAATCATTCAGTTTCACTTCTTATGGAATGTGGTAATATCAGTAACGCATTCTCTAGCTACTCTAGTCAGTATAGTTCTACAGTTTTTTCGGCTGTCCAGTCTCTCTCTCTAG